TTTAAGTGATTTTCAGTCTGTTATGGACAAGTATACAAACAATCATGGTAAACCTTTGAAAATGATTGCAAAAGATTACAATGATTGTTCAGCAGATCATTTTTTGGAATTCGTGGTTTTTAGTTGCCCAATTATGTATGATTTTCTTATTAATAATAAGAATCACTGTGATGTTTCATTCAGTTTGAAGAAGAAACATATAATATGTTGGTCAAATCACGTAGAATACGTACTTTCTTTGATTCAAGATTTGGTTTCACCTTCAAATATTGAAATTGCAAAATTGAAACATTTCAATTTCAGGAAACAAGTCATTTCCCTATATGGTAATGGTAATTTTACAAATCCTAATTTTCATTGGAATTCTCATATTTTTGAAGATTGTTTGAAGTGGGGAAATGCCAGGTTCTTCTGGGCATTGCTTTTTGAATTGAAACACAAAGTTTTCAAACAATTTAATGACTCTTCCAATCACAAAAATTTAGAACAACGAGGAGCGAATTTTGAAAAACTTCAAAGACAAATTAACATCAATTATCCTTGGGTAAGAAATCAATCTGAAAACAAGAAATGGATTCCAATTGTACAAAACAAAGAATTTATTTTATTTAAGGCAAAGGATGGTTCCTTACTTGTTGGTCAATTTGTTGAGGTTAAAGAGCAAAGAGTATATTTCACCAACATCAAAAAGTGTCTCTCTTCGGTTCATCCAATTATTGGATATAGATTAATTGATTCAAACATTCATGTAACAACAGGCTATGTTGCACTAAATCAAATAATTGGTAAATGTTTGATTCATAATATTGCTGGCAAAGAAATGTTCAACCAATACTCGTTTTTCATGAATTTCCATAAAGTTAAATTTTAAAAATAGAACTTTTATTAATTTTTGGCTTTGAAGGTGTATTCAACAGCTTCCGACTACCCGCACTACCATCCGGCTGTAACCGGCTACCGGCTACACCACCAACTACATCCACTCTTAGGTTGTAATTTCAGCTGGAATACAATTAGTTCAAGCTTTGAAAGATATTCACATGAAAATGAGTCTTATCCACAGAGATATAAAGTTAGATAACATTGCTCTCGATCAAGTGGTAGTTGAAAATAATGAAATTCAAAGCGCAATCATCAAGGTTATTGATTTTGAAAGTGCTGTTTCTATTCAAAATCAGGGAGCTCTTGAAGAAGAAATGTATCATGTCACTGAAAGTTATCGATGCCCAGATGATATACTACTTTCCACCAAGAGCGAGATTTATGCTCTTGG